ATCTGCAACTTTGACACAAAAATCGTTGTCAAGTAGTATGTTGTTAGTTTTCACATCACGATGGATGATGTCAGAAGCATGGAGGTAAACCAATGCACTGGCTGTTTCTATGGCTATGCTCATGCGTATAGGCCATAGGAGTGGTCTATCCTTTGCTCGATCACCGTGTATATGATCAGCAACAGTGCCATTAGGAATGTACTCATAGATGAGGAGGAGTTCCCTGCTTAGGCGAGAAGTGCAACCATAAAGGGAAACAAGATTGCGGTGGCGCAAATGTGTGAGGATCTTAATTTCATTCATGAACTGGGCTATTCGCCTATAGTTGTGCTCATATAGGCGCTTGACTGCAACATCCCGCCCATCTTGGAGGTTTCCTGGTTGGGAAAAGATCAAATATTGTGCAATGGGCATGAGTACTGTGAACATAAGAATTCGAATATGAATATGAACATGCTAATTGCAAATGTAAATGTGGTAATTTTAAGACAGATAGGAGAACTCTAAACCTTCTTACCATGGTATACAGTGCCGAAACCTCCATCTCCCAATTCCTTAGAGGGATCGAAGTTATTAGTAGCTTCTTCTAATTCAGTGTAGGAGAAGACAGGGACCCCAAAGTAGACACTACCTCCTTCAAGGTCTGGTTTAGAGGAGGGATCGGGAGACGTGAAGTGTTCCTTGAAAATACAAATGAAGAGACACAATTCAATTTTTTGCCACACCGTATAGAAACTATGAGCAAGCCAAGCAGCACGATAACTCCTCCAGGTATGGCTGAAGAAAATAGAGGTTTAGTCAGGTTTGGATTCACTAATTAATGCTCATGAAAGCAACAGTAAAAGTAACAAGGAACTGGGGGAGCAAAAACAAGTTTTGATCGACTGAAGTTGGTGGATTAAATCCTTAAAATTCAAAAACATGTAATGAATGTTGCATATGAATAAAAAAGAACATTTGAAACATTTATGTAAGATATTTACTCATAAGTATATTACCTGTTTCTAGAATCAATTTCAAGTGACTTGTTCCTACAACCAATGTCAAGGAGAAAAACATCAGTTAGGCATGTTTAAAAAGATGGGATGAGAAAAAGTTGATTGCAGAGGTAATCTACTTTGTAAATTTTGAATGCTTGCGCTTAACTAAAGGAGGAAAAACAACACTTCAATTAAAACGCACCAAGATTGAAGATTTTGGATTCAATTTGTGTGGATTAATACAGATATAGCAGCGTGCAAATGCAGAAAAACAAATACCTGGTTTCTGGTGACCTTCACTGGTTTTGCATTGAAACTCTGGGAGATCAAGACATTGGACTCCTTTAAGGTGAAACTCAGGACATTCAATTAACACATGAAACAAAATAGAGAATTCAGCGGCCAAAAGTGAAAATCGAGCACGGGCATTTGGGTTCACGATTGGTTGTATTATTGGTAGTTGAATAACTTCACAGTTACATGGTTTATTGCTAGGAATTTGAACATGAGGATTAGGGTTTTTACAGTAGACAGTGTAGCCTGGCCAACCTCCATAACAGTAATTACCACGGAAACAGTGAATTGTCCGCTGGTGCAGTTCATGGCTGCTGATGTTGCATTTGAACAAGGCGAGGTTATCAGTCAAGATTTTAAAGAAAATAGGTGGTCTATTGGGAACAGTCAAGTTACTAAAATTTTTGCAACTTTCGGAGCTTATGAGGTCTCCTAGCAAATTCTCACTAACCTTTAGGGCTTCATCTTTCAAGAATTTATCAACTTCGTACGATTTTCCCTTCCCTAAAAGGATTTTAGGAACTGTTTCACTAAAATTTGCCATGCACAACCCACATCGGGGATACGTGTCGTTGGAGAAAGGGAATTTGATCTGCCCAAGATTTCCACAGTCGAAGGACTCTGGAGAATTAAGTGGGTGCCCATTAGAGTAAAGAATCACTAGATGAGAGACAATAAAGAAAGCGAAAACGGAGGGGAAAGCCATTCAAAATTCCCAATTCAGCATAAAACAAACCACCATAGCGAAAATGGAACAAAATGCTCTTACTTTAAAAAGCAGAGGCCTGTGTAGTATTTGCCAAACACCATTGGTGGTTGTTTCTCTGCTAAACACGGCAGTTGACTTTGAAATTTGTTAAAGGATGACTTGCACAAAAGCAGAGTTATAACAAAAAAATGTTAGAAATCTTAAAATTCTATCAAAATTTTTATCAGATGTTTTATATGAATGGATGTGAAACTCATATGATATGGGTTTTATATCAAAATTTTTATCAAAGTAATACTACATGGAATGGCCAGTTGGCCAAACACTCGGGTTTCCTACTCGCCTTTAGGGCCAGAAACTATAAAGACTTGACCCATAGACTTCTTCAAACTCTCTCTCTCTCTCTCTCTCTCTCTCTGCAAGTATCCTTTCTTTTACAAGAAATCATCAAGAAGTAGGTGAAAATTGATAATAAAAAACAAAACGACAATGCTACGTAGCTCAAATTTTGTGGCTCAAAAGTGGCTCAAATGGCCAAAACAACGTCGTTTTGAGTACAGAACAATATAAAAATGGCCAAAACGACGTCGTTTTGGCCATTTGAGCCACTTTTGAACCACAAAATTTGAGCTACGAGACATTTTCCAAAACAAAAATCAAAAGTACCTCTTTCTAATTTTCAAATAATTTCTATCTAATAAATTATAAACATAAATTACACCAAATACTATAAAACCATCTTCCAATTCGTAACTTTTTTTTTTCAAATTTATATTTGATAAAAAAATATTCAAAAGTCATTTTCAATCCATTCATCAAATATTTATCAAATCAAGAAAGAAACATTTTTTTTCATCAAATTAGGAATTCATGAAATCTTTCATTCAATTAGAATTTGATGAAAATTTTAAAAAGATGAAATATTAGAGATATTTTTTTTCATCAAATTTGATTGAAAGAGACATTTGGGATAAGACAAAAAAAATTAAAAAGATTTTGATGGGTTGGAATAATTCATATGGAATTCTACTCAAATTTAAAATCAAATTAAATGAAAAAATTAATGAAAAGTTGGAATTCGAGGATGCGTTCAAATGTCAAAACGTCGAACAGACGGACTACAAGACTTGTATACCCATTCCACGATAAGCATATTATTTATCAGACATATGGGGGCAATCTACTAAATTTTTTATAAAACCTCTTTCATATGGACGTGAGATTCACATAAACTTACATGTGTGTACACCCATGTCAAAAGTTTAATAAAAAATTTAATAAATTATTTAGGATCCTTGACATAACTCATTCGCATAAAGGAACGAGAAAGCAGAATAATGAGCAGTAAATTATGCAAACACTTTGATTGGAAGAATTGTGTGAAAAACGGGCCACATTAAAAACATCTTAGCTGCAGATAAAAAGCTTCATGGTGGTGTTGAATATTGGCTACAGATTCTGGCCATGGTGGGGAAGCCATGAGGCCATGAGGCCATGTGAGTTGGCCATGAGGCCATGAGAAGCCAGCCACCGAAAGCACAACAATGGGCTGGCATGGGCTGACAGCCAGCTCATTTCAAAGACTCTCTTGCATTTGTAATCTCTATATATAGAGAAGCTAAGGAGAGTTGAGAGGTACAGCTGAGATAACAGAGAGCAAAGAGAGAGAGAGAATTATAGAGAGTATTGTAATTCTTACCATTTTGTTCAATATAGTAAATCTGTTGCCCGTGGACGTAAGCGACTTGCCGAACCACATTAAATCTTGTGTGTTATTGCTTGTTTGAGTTCCCTGGTGTGCCCCCGATCCGCAACAGGTGGTGCTGCTTCCCACCAATTTCGTCTAACCACATTTACGGATTATTACGTATATCTCTAATAATATTATAAAATTTTGTAATATAAATGGTATAACTTTTTACTCACTATATATATATCCATATATTAATAACTTTCACTTTACGCTAGGTTTGGTTGAGAGATTTAAAAAAAAAATAAAAAAGAAAAGTGAAATGTAAATAAAATATATTTATATTTCATTTAGTGTCACACACTTTTTACCTTTTCTTTTTTAAATCCCTTCACAAATTTGTCAATAGTAAATTTTCCTACAAATTGCATAACATACCTACAAACATTCATAACTTTCACAACGAAGAAGTACAACTATCTTATGATTTGTAAGAATGACAATTTGCCCTACCCCTATCCCTACCCCTTCAGAAAAATTATTAGGCACTTCTGAAATATCACACGTTCATACTCTTTCATCATATTCCCTTATATTTCTCAATCATTCAATATAAAATCATAATATTTTATATTTTCAACCAATCATAATACCATCCGCAACTCCAGTTTGTACACATTTTCCCGTCCCCAATAAGAAAACGGGGAGAGGGTAGCTTCACTTGCCCTACTTTTTCCTTCCAAATCCCAATTATATTAAATAAATGACTTCTATATGTTTATCTATATATATAATTTCATCAGTTAGATATAATAAGTGTAAAACACCAAAACATTCACATATATTTTATGTTTTACCTCTATCTCGATTTTTAATTCTTTTTATTCTTATTACTCATTAATATTTGTCATTTAAAATGTTATATCATCTCTTTCTTATTAACATCAACTCCTCTCCTCTTAAAGGTGACAAACTAGCCAAAATTTCCCCACCCTTCTCCATCCTGTCCACACCCTGGTAAAATAAGGGACGAGAATAGAAGACTCCAAGCCCACCCCCACTCTGTTGCCACTCCTAGATTTCCCCTACCCTTTATCAATGAGGTCGTGCAAAGGGAAAAGACGGGGTCGAATTTTTCTCTTTATCAATGATATGTTGAAAATTCCATGTGGATTTACTCCTATTCTAGCCTCTCTCACAAGCACTAAACAGGTGCTTCCTCATTTAACCACATTAAACTTGCCAAAGTTCTTGCACAATATCCCCCCCCAAAAAAAAAAAAAAATCAAATTTTAAAAAGAAACTTAAAACACATTATAAAAGAAGATTACAATCAAACCACAAGTTTATAAAAAAATTGCAAAACTACTTTTATTCCCCACTGTGCCATAATATGGCAGACAAACAATTGTCACTATTCAGCCCTTAGCTCTTTATCAGGGCTTCCCAAAAGGAACTATTGTGGTTATCTTACTAGATGGGTTTGCGATTTCCGTAAAATTTTTGTATCCTCATTTTCTCTAGTCGTGAAATTTTCCTCCTTGGGCTTAATATGGCCATCAGATTCAGGTTTGGCCACTGAATTCCTCTCCTCTGGAGGTAAAATCTGCTGCAACAACCTATGTATCATCTCGTAGCTGGTAAATGTTATAACAGCAGATGGAGTCGTTCTAAATAGGTTAGTTGCACAACCTCGGTAGAAACCAGGAACACCTTCCTTTTGGAATACCTTCTTAATGCAATCAACAACGCCATCATACCGGACTTGAGAATTCTTGACTTGTCCTTGCTCTTGCAATCTGGATCGTACAACCTGGTAAATTTGGAGAAATCCAAATATTATGACAAAAACATAATAAGGTGCAAATTCACAGGTGTATGTCCACATGTCTATATATATATATATATATATTTATATATTCATACACATGAAGATAGAAATCTTGGTTGTCACATATGAGAAAATCCAGACACTTACCTCGTGGGGGTAAGTCATTACAGAGGCAACTAATTTAGATACTGCTGAGGCAATCACAAGTTTCCCGGGACTTAGCTTACTGGTGGTTGTATTATCTGAACCATCAAGTATGATCATCATCAATCACATCTCATAATCACATTCGATTAACATCTACAGTCGATTCAAAAAGGAAAGAGGAAAAGAAAGAATGGCAAGAAGAAAACCTTACCCCTTTTCGCGAAGTAGGACTTGATCTTTTCATAAGCTGGAAATTGGATTGCAACATGACTTATCCCAACTAGTGAAGGCAAAAGACCACTGCTTAAACCACAAAAATTGGCATTATGACACTGAAAATATTTAGTTGAACAGTTCGGTAGCTATGATGGCAAAAACATTCTCAGCTCATACAGCTTTAGACACTATGGGACTAACTATTTTCTACAAACTTTTATCTAGTTTATCAGAAAAAGGAGAACAAGCTGCATCAATGTACAAAATCTCTGGTTCTGTACCGGTGAATCATGAAGCCTGAATCTACCAACTTACAAGTAAAATATGAAGTAAGAATTACTGACCTATACAACCCCCGTATTCCTTCCTCGTGTGAAATCCTTCTTAACGCAGAAAAAATGCCTTTGTAAGGAACCACACCTGGTCTCATTCCCTGTGTCTAAACAAGGAAAGAAATGAACATTGTGAATGATACAAATATGATATCATATAATAATCTTTAGAGATGCTAAAAAATCAATCAAATTAACATAGTTAGTAGAAGCAACACTCACAAGGGCTCAGTTCAAATCACTATCAAAGTAACCGGAACAACTCAATTTATGAAACACTGTAAATGTGCAAACCATAATTTAAGCACATGTCATGGTCATGCTGGACTACACAATTTTATTATTGCTGTTTGGTAGACCAGCCAATAAAAGGATACTTACTTAAGCACAGTTCAAGTTCATCTATTTAGTCTCAAGAAAATCACAAGGATAGATTTATTTGCCATCAACTTGGAGGAATATTTGGCCAACGTCAACAAAAGGCGAGTATCAACTTTGAAGAGTCTTATCACCTTGTACAAAGAGAGCTTAAGGACATTTCTTGTGAGTTTCTGTGGAACCCTTACTTGACACAATTCCGATGAAAGCTTTCCTGCTAAAAGCCAAATTTTTGACCTCAAAAACATATGTATATTCCAATGCCTAACTAAGGCCTCGTTTGGGAACAGGCTAATTTAGTAACTTTTTGGCTATTTGGCTAAAAAGGAAGGAAAAAAAAACTTATATGTTTGGGATGACTTTTTGGCTAATTACGAAAAGATGTGCAAAAAGTAGAGAGAAAAGTGAATCTTTGACTTTTTGGTATGAGTTGTTGGCTTTTTGACTAAAATGGTAACTTTTTGGCTTTTTGGCTAAAAAGGTAAGTCCCCAAACGAGGCCTAAGAGAATTTCAGCTTGCATACTACATATTCTCGGTTCTGGCTGGTAGTGAACAAAACTAATATATCACTTCTAGCTAAAGCCATCTTCTACAAGTGAATTCTTAAATACAAGGAGTAGAAAGAAAAGTGTACAGAAAACATTCAAAGCCCCATTAAAATGTATGTAGATAGTCCTATGAAACCAGGAAATAGAGTAAACTCAAAGCCTAATGTGAGTGCAAGAGAATTTATTTTCAAGTTTTTCAACATATTATACGTTCAATGGCGCCAGTCAAAGTGTCTCTACGCATGCAATTAATCTTACTCTTCACAAACGTAAACTAAAACTTACTTCATTTCATGCTTCTGTCAAATTCCAAACCATGGACCAAGTGCCAATTCATTCTTCAACTGTGTGATACATGGTTTGCTCTAGAGCTCACCGAGTAAATTTAGTTAATATGGATGGGGCACCAGTAGGGGATTGACAAAGTATGGAAAGAAGGAAAAGGGAAAAAATTTTGGCTTTCAAAGCTTAACATATGCATAAGTTAACAATAGTGCATGCAAATCCTCCCAAAGGTATGTTAACCTTTATTTTATTTTCCTTTTATTTTTTGATTTTTGTTAATTTTATTTGACAATTCTGAAGGTATGTTAACCTTCTTATCCAAGAAAAGCATTTCTTTTCATTTAATTTTGAAATTGGTTTACAAGCTACAAATGAAGTGGTTTAGATTAATGCTACACACTTGTACAAAGGAATCATTAGGCAGGTAAAATTTAATAGTCAATTTGCACTCCTAATTCTGCTTTCCATATCTGCTTTATTTTATGTTTGCCAAGAGGCTTACTTGCATATCTCAAAGCGCATACCTATCCCAGCTAGTTGCATGTGTGTTAGAACTAGAAAGGAGTTCCTCTTGTGAACTCCATCCCAATTTCCAGCTATGGGATTCTGGTTTAGGTACTTTTTTATGTAGAGAAGCATATTTTTTTAACCAATAGGAGACCATTCCCCAACAAAATAATTACAGCTATGGAACTCTGCATAGATAAAAATATAACAGTACACGTATACATATACATTTTTTTACAAGTCAAACATGCAGCTACCAATAGCATTCACTGATACATTGATTCAACATATATGAGAGAAACTGCGAACATAACAAGACCCAACCTACTTGGAGTCTGGTCTTAACAACCCACAGTGGATTTGTTGCAGTAGCCGTGGCAGCCCCAGCACCTGAAGCAGCTATCATATTGGCACCAAATGTAAGTTGACCACTGTTATCAGCTGCATTATCACAATATAAAATGTTAAAAGAAACCAAAACAACCAACTCAACAAAAGTTAATACTCCTCACTCAAAGATAAAATAAGGTCAACAAAGAACAAGGTGTCTCATAGCAACTCAAAATACATATCGATATTGAAAACATTGTAAAAGTTCTACCATGTGAACACAGCAGTTCTTTTAGGTGCTCATACACAGTGAAGTACACCTACATAAGAAATAATTACTTTTGTCAGTTAGAGAAATATAAAGAAAATATAAGACAGAATTACGCATGTTTTCACTGAAGATAAAAACAAAAACAATAATGACAATTTATTGCAAATATAAATTCAAGATATAAACAGTGCCAAGAAATTTGATTTCCAACAAACAAGTAAGAAGGATAAAGCAAGTGGGAAAAGCTTGTAACAAAGTGAAAATATTTATTGGAAGAAATTGGCTTGAGTCAGCTTTGAAAATGAGGGGGAAAGCAGTGTCGTTCTACATTTTTCAAACATGATCACCAAAGGGGCAACTTCTAATACGGTATTTCTGTTCATCTGAAAATTACACAAAATCTGGTTTTCCCCAGTCATTTGTTGAAACTAGAAATAAAGATAATGCTTCACCACAAAAAGAATTAACTTGAAAAATAAATTACTATAAGAATAAAAAAGAAAAAGATAAAACCAATGCATTTGTTAGAGCACATGCAAGTAAAAAAGTCGCTACATAAAATGCTTTAGACCAATGGTAAATTGCCAGCCCTACGCGGGAATTAGATATGGTTCCATAATAAAATTTTATTTTATTAAAACTCTAAATATTTTTTATTTTCACAGAGACATAACAAGCACGGGAAACAAAGCAAGAATTTGCACCACAAAAGCATTGCATTTTATGATAGAAATAACAAGAAAACCACATCCTAACTCTTTTCGGAGTGTTAAACTCCTCACAGCAGTGTAGTTAACCAGAGTGATTACACATATGCAAGCTAAAAGCATTGTCTAGGAAAGAAAACCAGTAAAATATTGAGGGGGTTAAAAAATAGGAAAGATCTGTTCTACATTTCAGTAATAAAAAAATAAGAAAAAAAAAATTGAAGCCTCAATGGCTCTCTGTTAATGATAAAAGAGGTCCCAGTCAATTGTCTTTCAAGGAACAACTTAAGAAAAGTAATACTCACTGCCCAGTTTGGAAGTAGTGCCACTAATGTTGGTGAAAGACCACGATACATTCCCTTCAAACCCTCAGTTTGTATTATATTTTGCAGGCTTGTAATAATGATATTACCTGATTATCACAAAAAAAATGATGAGCAGAAAATAATTTTGGTATTTATTTATAAACCCAAATATCATCAAAATCCTTGACTAGTCAAACTTAAAATACTAATCAAAACCCTTGACATTATTTGGCACATATAGTTTCTATAGAAACAACCAACTTTTAAAATACTGATTTTTTATGCACTCCAAATTCTAAAAGATTAGTCAGCCAAAATGAATACAAAATAAAAAAATCCCATTGGTAATGGATAAACAAACAGACCATACTACCACCGGCTACAAAAAACATAATTCATCGAAAAAACACATACCTCTTGGACCAGAGTGGGGCAACTTAGGTAGGCCATAGACCTGCAATCTGGTTTTAATTACATCCAACGGACACACAACAGTGGCAGCTATAGCACCTGCAGGGCACATTAATCACATAAAATAGCTAAACAAGTGATACAATCAATAGTTTTCAGTTTCATTTGTATTAAAGAATTTGAAATGCAGAGATTTGACATTAATCATTCAAGGAAAGCAGCTTAAATTTAGATTTGATAGTTTAGCCATGAATTTCAAGATTGAATTATATAACTTCATCATGATGAATTTGAAATAACTATGTAAAAGTAGTTATTTGAAATCATGCTAAGGATTCTCCTTCCCTGGTTACAAGGGTATTACTAAATTACATATCTTCTGTCTCGACTTATTATATCACCTACAATAACCAACTCTCCAACATTTTTATAAAATTCAAATCTCTTTATTTGAAATCTACGTCCATCCAAACGCACCCTTAGCTCCTTGGAGTCAAATGCACCACCTCAAAATGATAATTTCACAAGAATCAAAAAGCACTTCAACATAACAAGCTCATTAGCTCACTCTATCAATTGTTACTAGTACACATTAACATAAATATCACAAAACGAACAAACCCAGATGGAAAACATAATCGAAATTACAAAAACTGTTAAAATTGAACCAGAAATGAGGGCTTTTGGTGAAAGAACAAACCTGCAAGGCACATTAATCACATAAAATTAAGTAAACGAGTGATACAATCAACAGTTTTAGCTCGAAGGAGTCAAATGCACAACCTCACAGTGACAATTTCACAAGAATCAAAAGCATTTCAACATAACAAGCTCATGAGCTCACTCCATCAATTGTTGCAAGAACATATTAACATAAATATCACTAATTGGACAAACCCAGATAAAAACCCTAATCAAAATCACACAAAAAAAATGTTAAAATTGAACCAAAATGAGGGCTTTTTTTGGGTGAAAGAAGAAACCTGCAGAGGCCCCCGCGCCAGCATCGCAGATGATTTGCCTGATGCTCCGGCCGTTGGACGACGTCGTAGTGGCGGAGGTCATGATGAAGGTCTATGGATCGAACAATTGGAAAGTGAAAGATTATTTGAGAGTTGAATGAATTGAAAGAAGATTCGCATGGTAGAAGATATATACAACACACATGTATGCAAAACCCGTGTCACTGATACATTATTCGACGCCGCTAGAGAGAGAGGAAGAAGGTGGGGAGACTGGTCTTGGAACGTGTTGGACGCTCGTTGTAAATGGTGGAAGAGGAAAGACCAGACTGTGTCTGAAGGCTGAACGTGTTGGATGGACGCTTACTCTTGACGCCCAGAGAGAGAGAGAGAGGGGTTTGATTTTTGGAATCTTGAAGTGTTGTTGTCTGTCCAAAAGTAATGAGAAAAGTAATTTGCTAATTTTGAAAGCAAACACCAGGGTGATTCTTTTTGCAGGACCACAAAAACAATCTGATTAATCATCTTTAAAAATTTAAATATTTTAGTATTCCCTATTTTTTTAAGATTGGAAACCTATTTTAGCTTGTTTGGTTTAAATTCTTAAATTTATTTTTTAAGAAATTAAAATTTTTTATTTTTTATAATTTTTATTTTTAATGAATTTTTTTAATATTTTTAGCATTTTTTTAATTTTTAAATACATGTAACATAAATATACTTAAAAAGTTTCATATTTGTGAATTTTTATTTTAAAAAATTCACTAAATATCAAAAATATAAAATAAAAAAGAGAATTCAGTATATTTTTTGTATTCTTGTGTATTTATTAATTTTTAAAATACTTTTTTATAAATATTTTACTTTTTGGATATATCTAAGTAAAAAAAGTAAAAAAAAAATAGATTAAAATTTTAAAAATATTTACTAAAAATATAAAAAATAAAAAATTCAATTTTTTAAAAATTAAAACTAAACACACTAATGAATTGTAAAAATATCATCATTCCTATCATTTCTTTCTCTATTATCTCCCTAAAAATTTTAATAAGTTTTGAACCATTACACCTAACTTGCTTAGATTCCTTATCAAACTCGAACCAGCATCTCACTAGTCCTCACCGCACGCACGCAACACATCTATCCTTGTTGCACCACGACCCAACCCTATCCAGCCCCACTTTTAGCGACTTAATTCCTTCTTAGCCTCTTACTACTACATATGAGAAATAAAGATAAAGAAACATAAAGAAATAGATCCATGGTAGAAGAAGGAGAAGGATGCATCGAATTTGAAGGATGGGTGACGGTGGATGCAGGAAAAGGGCTTAAAAGTAGTGGAAGAAGGTGTTGCATGGACGGAGAAGAGGTGGTGATGCATAATAGAAAGGTGGAAGATAGTGGCAAATGTTGCTGTAGAAGTGGCATGAAGGGTGAAAGAAGTATCGATAGGATTAGTGATTGTAGAAAAAGAGAGTAAAAAGAATTTTTATTTTGAATACTATAGTTTTGTCCTCAGATGTAATTTTGCTAAGAGATAAAATGGTAATAAAAATAATTCAAAAATGATGAGAGTGAAGAGACAAAAGTGTGATGAAAAATGATGGGTTGGGTCAAATCAGACCGGCAACCGGTTATCCTGAAGGTTATGCCTACGGATGTCATGATAACACCTCAGGACATTCTTTTCTCTTGTTAAAAAAAAAAAAAGAAGACAAAAGTGTGATGTAAACAAAATTATCCCTAAAACTAATTATGCCAACTATCCATCTCATTTTGTACATGTTTTTTCCCATCTTGTTTTGTATAGGTTTTTTGGGTGTGTTTGGTTTATTTTTGAGAGAGTGGTTTTCAAAAAAAAATTAGAAAGAGAGTTTAGATTTTTTTTTAATTTGTTTGGTTGTATATTTTGAAAGTAGTTTTGGAGTTTGGGATGATTTGATATTTTGTTGTAATTAAATAGATGTGTGTGAGAGAAAAAATGATTAAGAATGAAGGATAAAACAAAAAAAGTGATTGATTGATGTGTAAGAGAGAGAAAGTGATTTTGAAATTTTCTTTAGAGAAACCACAAACCAAACAAAATTTTAAAAAAAAATTCAAAAACAACTCTTCTAAAAACGAACCAAACAAACCCTGTTTTAGGGGTAACAAGGTGGGGAAGGATTTCGCTCCCCTGCCCCAAAAGTGTCACTTATTTATCAATGAGACCAAGGGCAGAGTTAAGAATCCTCTATTGAATGGGCCGGAAATAAGGCATAGGCAAAATCCAATCAGGTGAAAGATTGGTTGAACCGTGTTTAAAATGATTAAAATATAAGGATAACTAGCATAATCAAAAATTATAAGAAGTTTAAATTTACATATGTTATCACATGTTATAAGCCCCTGGTATTATTTGGTGCAATTTGTTGGTTTTTTTTTTCCTTCATCTTGGGCATATGTATCAAAGGGCTTGATATAACTTTTACCGTTTATGAGATAAACATGGTTGAAATAAGTAGCTTACTTTAAGAAATAAGTTAAGAAAAATGTTTTAGACTACTAATTTAACACTAAAAAAAAAAAAAAAAAAAAACCAGTTTTTTTTGTCCAATGAGAGCTGACCCCCAGCACCCCCAGCTGGGGGTCTCAGTCATTTTTCTAACTTTTACCGTTTATGAGATAAACATGGTTGAAATAAGTAGCTTACTTTAAGAAATAAGTTAAGAAAAATGTTTTAGACTACTAATTTAACACTACTAATACACCATTAATGATGTGGCACTATGTAGTCCCCATCACTGATGTGATAGTTTGGCCCTTTTTTTTTTTTTTTTCTTCTTACACTGTCAGCTCATTAAAGCCGACATTAGTGCTACCATTTTAGTGATCTCTATCACCACTGATAAGTTAAAAGTTGATTTTTTAATTTATTTTTCTTTTTTAGTAAATGTACAAAAAAAAGTACAAGTAATGTAACCCAAAAAAGCAAAAAAAACTAAAAAACTAACTTTAAATCAACTTTTCAAAATAAACCGGTACAATGTTTTCAGTTTCTACTTTTTTATTATAAACTCTTAACATGTGCAAAACTGCACTAAATAAGACTATTTAATTATTTGAATATTATTCATTGTATTTAGGCCATAAAACTTCACAAGTGGTCTAATTAAAATACTACGAGAATTCACAAAAGAAATCAATTTTTTTTTCTCTTGCAAAATTAATTAAATTTTTTTTTTTTTAACGATTTTACAACAAACAATTAGACTATATTCTCATATATTAAATATTTTCTAGAGTCATTATATGAGACATTATGAAAGACATCCCCTATACAAGTAGATTTTTACATACTGGAATGCCGAATTGAACTTTGGGGGGCATCACATGGGGAACAAAAATAAATAAATAAATAAAATAGTTAGAAGATTACATATATGTAGAAGTAGATTTTCCAAATTTTGAAAGGACCCGCAACGAATGAGACCGTAACAATGAAGATGAATATGGTTGAATTTTCTTTTAATTGATTGAAGTGTGTCAAAACAATTCTCTTATTACTCATGCTTTCATAAGTATTACGATTCATTTTAGAAAGTAAGTTAAAAGTCAATTTTTTTATTTTTTTAAAAAAACGTATAAAAGTAAAGAAGTAATATGACTCAATAAGCTAGTTTTTAACCAACTTGTCAAAATAAGCCGAAGTGGTCATGGTCTAATTTAACATCATCTGGAAAATTTCTTCAAACTTCAAGGTTGAATTCAATACCATTTTAACTATTCAACTGGTTTATTCACCCAAAAAAAAAAAAAACTATTCAACTGGAAATATGTTGGGGTTTTCAACAAAGATCTGATAGCATCTCTAATTCTTTATTAAATTTGAAAAATAGTTTAAAATGAGTTTTAATCTTTTCATAAATATTTGCATCAAAAAAGTGAAGTGAGAATCAAACCCCTTATCAAATCAAAGATAAATTAAATCTTTTATTGAATTTTCAACTATTGTATTTTTATTCATATTTGATGATTTTTTAAGTAATGATTGGAAATTGTTTTCTTTTAGTATTAAAAAATTGTTAAGAAATATTTTTGGGATAAGTTGGATATTTTTTTTAAAAAAAAAAAAATCAATGAAATCAAAGGAGCAAGGGAGATATATTTGATGAAAGTTTTAATCAAATTTGATGAGGAAAATAAAAAGTATAGGTTGAACATGACCTCACATATGGTTAGATGTTTTTCTCAAACTCGATTTGATAAATCAACCATTCCCTCATGTTGATCATCCAATTTAAGAAAATAATTTGAGCTTAGTAGACCCATTTTGTGGTTGACGTCGGTAATACGAACCATTCACTTTTTAAGACTAATTTATTAGAATATTCATATAAAAAATTAAGATAGTCAGATATTAATAATTATATATTTGAATCACATTTATATTACAAAAAATAAATAGCTAGCTATTCTTGAAAATTCAGTTCTATGTTAAGTTGCTCAATTAGTGGGAAAAAATAAATACAAACAAATTTGAGGGTAGCACATAAAAATAGTATTTAAATTAGTTGAGGCACGAAACAATTAATTAGCTGAATCTATGGTCTACCTGCAATGCTAAAAATCCAAGTTTAATCTCAAACTAGCTTGCCAATATACAAGTGAAAATCATGTATGAGACACCAAAATGGGCTTGGATTGGGCTGGGCTGACACCATAAATTTGGTAACAATATATATGCCAACACCATCAATGCCAAACAATTTTTTGCTATAGATCTTGATCCTCTCTATTATATAGATGGAACCAAGCCATTCATTTTATGATCAATGCTTAATGAAATTGTCACATTAACATATATTTATTTCTTTCAAATTCAATGTTGGTAAAGTATTTTTTTGTTATTTTTTTATTCGTCAAAGAACCTCTCCCCTTTTATTAATAGTATGTGTTTTGGATGGCATTTGTCACTTCTCAAAAATAAATAAATAAAAAAGCTTGAACACCCTTGGGTCCATTCTTGTTTGTTGGGTTCGTTTTATATTTGTGATTGTGTATTTCTTCATAGTTGAATATTCAGTTTGATGTAATTATTATAATATTTGTAATTTATTTTCTATTAATTGGGAAAAAAAAAGTCTCTACCCTGACCAAAAAATTCTAGCCTCCACTAGGATCCATTATGGGATTCATTCTAAATTGTAAATTTGTACCCATTATCGTGCTATATAAATCTGTAGATGGCTTTAAACGAAGCTCTTGAACTTGATCTGTATATAAGCAACAAGATTGCATCTATTTTTTTCCTCCAGAATGCAAGACTTGTACTGATCAAAGGGTACCATTGGATTCACAACTCGATTTAATTACTTGATTAATTTACTTGCCCAAAAATAAATGTAAGTTCAATGGTGGTTGTTGTTGTACTATCCATAATATACACAAGTACAAGAATAGCAGGCAGGTTC